GAGGAACTTTCAGGAAACAGGAAAGAGAGGGAAGCTATTGGAAATATTTGAATCATGGAACGGATTAATAACCTGATCGATCTGCCGTAGACGAAGATAGGTGAACATGGTTGAATTGGAGGGTTGCTGTTCGAGCTTGCCGAATGTTGAATAGAAGTTATACTTGATGACTTCGTTGTTTACAGAGGTAAGGAATTGTGTTTGACTTAGAGATATTCTAGGACGGGCGTTGACATGATAATGAATTTCAATTAATTATAAATGAGAAAGAGGAATTTCCAGGAAGCAGAAATAGAGAGAAGTCGTTGGAAGCATTAATATGACGATTGACCTGTTGTAGACGACGATAGGAAGATGTGATTGATCTTGAGGGATGCTGCTTGAATAATTTGAACGAAATCTAGTATCTATATTTGATGGTCTCGTTGTTGACAGTGGTAAGGAATTATGATTGTTTCGGAGGTATTTGAAGACGGACGTTGACATGATAATGAGTCTTTAATTAATTATTTATAGATGAGAGAGAGGAATTTTTAGGAAACAAGGACGAGAGAGAAGCTATTGGAAATATTGGTATGATGGAGCGGATTAATTATCTGACTGATCTGCCGTAGACAATGATAGGAAAATACGATTGATTCGGAAGGATGCTGTTCGAGTCTGTTGGATGATGAGTAGAATTTATACCTGATGAGTTCGTTGTTGACAGCGGTAAGGAATTGTGTTTGATTGAGAGGTATTCAAGGATGGACGTTGGCATGATAATGAAAATTTTAACTGGCTATTGATGAGAAAGAGGGCTTTTTAGGAAGTGAAAAAAAAAAGAGAGAGAAGCTGCCAGGAATAAATGTATGATGAAATGAATTAAATACCTGATTGATACGCCGTAGATGATGATAGGAAAAGCGGCTGATCCTGGAAGAAGGGTAACTGGAATGACAATTAGTACTCATAATTGATGGTCTCGTTGTTAACAGTGGTGAAGAATTATGATTGATTTGAAGGTATTTGAGATGGACGTTGACATGACAATGAAACTCTAATTAATTATCTGTAGATGAGAGAGAGGAACTTTCAGGAAACAGGAAAGAGAGAGAAGCTATTGCAAAATGTTTGAAGGATGGAATAGATTAATTATTTGAACGATCTGCTGTAAATGATGATAGCGAAAACACGATTGATTCGGAAGGACGCTGTTCGAGCCTGTCGAATGATGGATAGAATTTATACTTGATATTTTCATTGTTGATAATGGTAAGGAATCGTGTTCGATTCAGAGGCATTCAAGGATGGACGTTATTTGTAGATGAGAGAGAGGAGCTTTCAGGAAACAGGATTGAGAGAGAAGCTATTGGGAATTTTTGATTGATGGAACGGATTAATTATCTGACTGATCTGCCGTAGACAATGATAGGAAAGTACGATTGATTCGGAAGGATGCTGTTCGAGTCTGTCGGATGATGAATAGAATTTATATACTTAATGCTTTCGTTGTTGACAGCGGTAAGGAATCGTGTTTAATTGAGAGGTATTCAAGGACGGACGTTGACATGATAATGAATTTTAACTGACTATTGATGAGAAAGAGGGCTCTTTAGGAAGTGGTAAAAGAGAGAAGCTGCCGGAAATAAATGTGTAATGGAATGAATTACATACCTGTTTGATCTGCTGTAGATGATGATTGGTAAGTGGCTGATCTTGAAAGATGATGTTTGAGTAACTGGAATGACAATTAGTACTCATAATTGCTGGTCTCGTTGTTAACAGTGGTAAAGAATTATGATTGATTTGAAGGTATTTGAGATGGATGTTGACATGATAATGAAACTTTAACTAATTATCTGTAGATGAGAGAGAGGAACTTTCAGGAAGCAGGAAAGAGAGAGAAGCTATTGTAAAATATTTGAAGGACGGAATAGATTAATTATTTAAACGATCTGCTGTAGATAATAATAGGAAATACGGTTGATTTGGAAGAATGCTGTTTGAGCTTGTCGAATGATGAATAGAACTCATACTTGATACTTTCATTGTTGATAACGGTAAGGAATTGTGTTCGATTCAGAGGCATGCAAAGACGGGCGTTGACATGTTAGTGAATTTTATTTTATTCTTAGTTAGGAAGAAAATCTTCGGGAAACGGAGGATAGAGAGAAATCGTTGGAATTAACTGTATGATGATTGGTCTGCTGTAAATGATGATAGGAAATGAGATTGATCCTGGAAGATGTTGCTGGAGTAATTTGAACGACGATTAGTATTTATTTTTGATGGTCTTGTTGTTGACAGCGGTAAGGAATTATGTTTGACTCGGAGGCAGTAAAGAACGGGCATTGACACGGAAATGAATCTCAATTAACTATTGATGAAAGAAAGGAGTTTGTAGAAAGCAGGAAAAGGGAGAAGCTGCTAGAAATAATTGTATGTTGGAATGAATTAAATATCTGATTGATCTGCCGTAGATGATGGTAGGAAAGTGTGATTGATCCTAAAGATACCGCTCGAATGGGTTGAACGGAGAATAGTGTCTATACTCGATGGTCTTGTTGATGACAGTGGTAAGGGATTACAATTGATTCATAGACAATAAACATTCGAGGACGAGTGTTGACGTGATGAATGGAATCTTTTCATTATCTGTAAATGAGAGAGAGGAATTTTCAAGAAACAGAAAAGAGAGAGAAGCTATTGCAAATATTTGAACGATGAAATGGATTAATTATCTGATCGATTTGCCGTAGACGATGATAGGAAAATACGATTGATTCGGAGGGATGCGTTTCGAGCTCGTCGGATGATGAATAGAATTTATACTAGATGTTTTCGTTGTTGACAGCGGTAAGGAATTGTGTTCGATTCGGAGGTATTCAGGGACGGACGTTGACATGATAATGAACTTTGTTTAATTCTTAATGAGAAAGGAAATCTTCAGGAAACGAAAGATAGAGGGTAGTCGTTGGAGATAATTGTACGATGATTGGTCTGCTGTAGATGATGATAGGAAAACGTGTTTGATCCTGATGGATACTGCTGGAGTAATTTGAACGACAATTAGTATTCATATTTGATGATCTCGTTGTTGACAGAGGTAAGAAATTATGATTGATTTGGAGGCATTTGAAGATGGACGATTGACAGGATAATGACAACTTTTAACTAATTATTTGTAGACGAGGAAGAGGAACTTTTATGAAACAGGAAAGAGAGAGGAGTTATTGGAAATATTCGAATGATGGAAGGGATTAATTATCTGACTGATCTGCCGTAAACGGTGACAGGAAAAACGATTGATTTGGAAAGGTGCGGTTCGAGCTTGTCGATCGATGAATAGTCTTTTATATTTGAGGGTCTTGTTGTGGACAGCAGTAAGGAATTGTGTTTGATTCAGAGGCAGTAAAGAACGGGCGTTGACATGATAATGAATTTTAATTAATTATTGATGAAGGAGAGGAATTTTTAGGAAATGGAAAAAGAGAGAAGTTGCTGGAAATAATTGTATGACGAAATGAATTAAATACCTGATTGATCTGCTGTAGACGATGGTAGGAAAGTGCGATTGATCCTAAAGGTACCGCTCGAATAAGCTGAGCGGGAATAGTGTCTATACTCGACGGTCTCGTTGTTGACAGTGGTAAGGGATTACGATTGATTCATAGACAATGGATATTCGAGGGCGGGTGTTGACATGATAAGTGGAATTTTTTCATTATTTGTAGATGAGAGAGAGGAACTTTCAAGAAACAGGAAAGAGAGAGAAGCTATTGCAAATATTTGAACGATGGAATGGATTAATCATCTGACCGATCCACCGTAGACGTTGATAGGACAATATGATTGATTCGGAAGGTTGCTGTTCGAGTCTGTCGAATGATGAATAGAATTTATACTTGATGTTTTCTTTGCTGACAGTGGTAAGGAATTGTGTTCGATTCGGAAGTATTTAATGATGGATGCTGACATGATAATGAATTTCAATTAATCATTAATGGAAGAGAGGGAATTTTTTAGAAAAAAAAAGAGAGAAGCTGCCGGAAATAATTGCATGACGGAATGAATTAAATACCTGTTTGATCTGCTGTAGAAGATGGTAGGAAAGCGTGATTGATACCAAAGATACCGCTCGAATAAGTTGAACGGAGAATAGTATCTATATCCGAAGGTCTCGTTGTTGACAGTGGTAAGGGATTATGATTGATTCATAGACAACAGACATTCGAGGACGGGCGTTGACATGATAAATGGAATTCTTTATTATTTGTAAACGAGAGAGAGGAACTTTCAGGAAACAGGAAAGAGAGAGAAGCTATTGCAAAATATTTGAAGGATGGAATGGAGTAATTATTTGACTGATCTGCTGTAAACGATGATAGGAAAATACGATTGATTTGGAAGGATGCTGTTCGAGCTTGTCGAACGATGAATAGAATTTATACTTGATACTTTCATTGTTAACAATGGTAAGGAATGGTGTTTGATTCAGAGGCATTCAAGGACGGATGTTGACATGATAATGAATCCTATTTAATTCTTAATGAGAAAGAGGAATTTTCAGAAAGCGGAAGATAGAGGGAAACTATTGGAAATAATTGTACGATGACTGGTCTGTCGTAGTTGATGATAGGAAAACGTGATTGATCCTGAAAGATGCTGCTCAAGTAAGTCGAATGGCGAATAATATCTATATTTGACGGTCTCGTTGTTGTCAGTGGTAAGGAGTCATAATTGATTCAGAGGCATTTGAGGATAGATGTAGATATGATAATGGAATTTTTAATTATTTGTAGATGAGAGAGAGGAACTTTCAGGAAACAGGAAAGAGGGAGAAGCTACTGGAAATATTTGAATGACGGAACGGATCAATTATCTGACTGATTTGCTGTAGACAATGATAGGAAAATACGATTGATCAGAAAGGATGCTGTTCGAGCTTGTTGCATGATGAATAGAATTCAAACTTGATGCTCTCGTTGTTGACAGTGGTAAGGAGTTATGATTGATTCGGAGGCATTTGAAGACGGACGTTGACATGATAATGAATCGTTAATTAACTATTTGTAGATGAGAGAGAGGAACTTCCAGGAAGAAGGAAAGAGAGAGAAGCTAAGGGAAATACTTGAATGATGGAATGGATCAATTATCTGACCGATTTGCCGTAGACAATGATAGGGAAATAAGATTGATCAGACAGGATGCTGTTCGAGCTTGTCGAATGATGAATTGAATTCATATTCGATGCTTTCGTAGTTGACAGTGGTAAGGAATTATGATTGATTCGGAGGCATTTGAAGACGGATGTTGGTATGATAATGAATCTTTAATTAATTATTTGTAGATGAGAGAGAGGAACTTTCAGGAAACAGGAAAGAGTGAGAAGGTATTGGAATATTTGAACGATGGAACGGATTAATTAACTGACTGTTCTACCGTTGACGATGATAGAAACACGATCGATTCGGAAGGATGCTGGTCGAGCTGGTCGAATGATGAATAGATTTTATTCTTGATGTTTTCACTGTTGACAGCGGTAAGGAATTGTGTTTGATTCAGAGGCATTCAAGGATGGACGTTGACATGATAATGAATTTTACTTAATTGCAGATGGAGAGAAATCTCCAGGAAATGGAAGGAAGAGAAGATATCAGGGATGTTTGCATATTGAATGTGATCAATGAGAGGGAATGGTGGTTTTGTTGTACAAAGAATACGTTGAACTGTACAATTGTTATTTTTGAATACTTTATGTTTCTTTATTGAATAAATACAATTTATGAAGTTTCTATATGTATGTTATGTGTTGCTTGTTATTCCGAACAAACCTTTTTGCGCTATTTGTTCCTGGTCCTCCTCCCTGGACGTGGAGAGTGAACTCTGCTGTTCACATGATAGGCTTGAGTGTCGGGGAAGCTGTTGATTTGTAAAATAGATCTAGGTGGAATCCTTGAGAGACGGAGGTGAGCCAAGGGTGGCTGTGAAATGAGGAAATCGACTGGTGAAACTGTTATCATAGAACGGGAGACGACGGTCTGAGGGGACCAACCCGGCGTTCCGTTCGCTGTTGGGCTTACCTGACGCGGCGGTTCGAAAAATGCGTCGAAGGCCGACGAACCTCAGCGTTCGCCAATTGGCCGGACCTCCGCACTGGGCGTATTCTCAAGGCCGTTGTCTCGGTGGTGGATCGAATCGCGGGAATGAATTAAGTAGTGTCGCGAAATGATGAGTACGACTGATACTTTCTACAACCCTCGAACGCCATCGCGGAGAGCAGTCAACGGGACGGGGCTGGCTCCGGGTCAGTCCTGAATGAACAACAAAAAGAAGTATTATTATGCATGTAACAATCATTGAACGCTTGAGTGTTCGCGAGATCGTCCGCCGCGGACCATTCTCGCAATCGCGACTGTCC